GGGGCTAGGGCTGTGGCCTAGAGGGTAAAGCCACTGCCTACAGTGCTGGCATCCCATATGGGTGCTGGTTCGAGTCTCAGCTGGTCCACTTCCAATCCAACTCTCTGCTATAGACTGGGAAAGCAGTAGAAGATGGTCCAAGTGCTTGGGCCCCTGCACCCATGTGGGAGACCCAGAAGAAGCTCTTGGCTACTGGCTTCAGATTGGCTCAACTCTGGCTGTTGTGACCATTTGGGGAGTGAACTAGCAGATATAAGACCTTTCTCTCTCTGCCTCTGTCTCTCTGTAACTCTGCCTTTCAAATACATAATGTTTAAAAAAAAAAGAAAAAGATTCATTTATCTTCACCAAGTAGACTTTGCTAATTCTGTTTTACAGGTGAGAAACAGGCAAAATGATGGTAAGTAATTTGCCCAACATCTCACAGCTACTGAAGGACAGAAGTGGATCCTAACCCATGCAGTGTGTCTCTAAAGCCACATTTCATTTGAGATGAGACACTAAGTTTAGGTAGTCTGAATGTGTCAGAGTAAGAAGTCATTATTTAGGCCTCTTCTCATGTAGCAGACAATCAGTAGAATTCTTCAAAAAATAAAAGACAACAAGTTATTGCCAATAAGCAAAACAAGATTTAAAAAGTTAACTCATGTAAAAAGATTTGTGAGCAGCTACCCTAACATATATTGAGTTTGCAATTGGTAATGGGCTTTAAATAAAGAGGTATAATATGCCTGACTTAGGTAGTATACATATGAGAGGGTAGATGATTCATTCCATTGAGTACTAGAAAGTGAAGAAGAAACCCTTCTGAAAGAAGCTCTATAGAATACTATACAACAGTCAAAAACAATGAAATCCGGTCATTTGCAACAAAATGGAATCAGGAAAACATCATGCTGAGTGAATTAAGCCAGTCCCAAAGGGACAAATATCATATGTTCTCCCTGATCAGTGACAACTAACCAAGCACAAAAAAGGAAACATGTTGAAGTGAAAGGGACACTAAGAAACAGTGACTTGATCGGCCCTTGTCCTAATTGTTGATGTACAATTTAATACTTTATCCTTTTTAGTATTTTTTTGTTCTAGTTAATACTATTGGTTGAACTCTGTAATTAACACACAATTATTCTTAGGAGTTTAAATTTAACTGAAAAGTGATCCCTGTTAAATATAAGAGTAGAAATAAGAGAGGGAAGAGATGTACAATTTGGGACATGCTCAATCGGACTTGCCCCAAATGGTGGAGTTAGAAATGTGCCAGGACTATGGAAGCCCCCTGAGTCCTGTGTGGGAGCAAACTGTTGAAATCTTTACTTAATGTATGCTAAACTGATCTTCTGTATATAAAGAGAATTGAAAATGAATCTTGATGTGAATCGAAGGGGAGAGGGAGTGGGAAAGGGGAGGGTTGCTGGTGGGAGGGACGTTATGGGGGGGAAGCCATTGTAATCCATAAGCTGTACTTTGGAAATTTATATTCATTAAATAAAAGTTAAAAAAAAAAGAAATGTGCCAGGAGATTCCAATACAATCCCATCAAGGTGTCATGTACCAATGCCATCTCACTAGTCCAAGTGATCAATTTCAGTTCACAATTGATCACACTGATAGGTCTAAGAGTCAAAGGGATCACACAAACAAGACTAGTGTCTGCTAATACTAACTGATAGAATCAAAAAGGGAGAGAACGATCCAACATGGGAAGTGGGATACACAGCAGACTCATAGAATGGCGGATGTCCTAAACAGCATTCTGGCCTCAGAATCAGCCCTTAAGGCATTTGGATCTGGCTGAAGAGCCCATGAGAGTATTCTAGGCATGGAAAGCCAAGACACTCTGGCAAAAAACAACAACAACAACAAACACAAAACAAAACAACAAAAAAACAAAACCTAATTGAAAGATCTCTGCGAGTGAGATCCCCAGTGGAAACCCAATGGAAAGAACGGGCCATCAAAGAAGGAGGTACCTTTCTCTGAAGGGAGGAGAGAACTTCCACTTTGACTATGGCCTTGTAGAAATAAGATCAAAGTCTGCAAGCTCAGGGGGCTTCCATGGCCTTGGCAACTCATGACTAGAGCCTGGGGAGATTGCTGACACCTTAAACAAGAGTGTCAATTTGTTAAGTCAAGAACAGCAGTCACTGTGCACTTACTCCCCATGTAGGATCTCTGTCCTTAATGTGTAATGTGTAGTTCAATGTGAATTAATGATATGACTAGTGCTCATACAGTATTTGGCACTTTGTGTTCTTTGTGGGGGCAAACTGATGAAATCTTTACTTAATATATACTAAATTGATCTTCTGTGTATAAAGGTAATCAAAAATGAATCTTGATGTGCATGGAATGGGAGAGGGAACGGGAGATGGGAGGGGTGCAGGTGGGAGGGAAGTTATGGGGGGGGAAGCCATTGTAATCCATAAACTATACTTTGGAAATTTATATTTACTAAATAAAAGTTTAAAAAAAAAAAAGAAGCTAACTTAGAAACTTCTGGGGCTGGTGTGTGGTGTAACAGGTAAAGCTGCTGCCTGTGATGCCGGTATCCCATGTGGGCCCCAGTTGGTGTTCTGGCTGCTCTGCTTCCAATCCAACTCCTTCCTAATGTGTCTGGGAAAGTAGCAGAAGATGGCCCAGTGCTTGGGCCCCTGCACGCACGTAGGAGACCTGTAATAAGCAGCTCCTGATTCCTGCTTCAGAGCAGCACAGCCCAGCCTGGATGTTGAGGCCATTTGGGGACTGAACCAGCAGATGGAATCTCTCTCTCTCTCTCTCTCTCTCTCTGTCTCTCCAGATCTCTCTAACTCTGCCTTTCAAATAAATTAAAAAAAAAACACCTTAAAAAAAAAAAGAAATTTCCACTCACCTAAGTTCATATTCTTCTACGTGTGAATATTACATTTGGGTGCTTATTTTCCAAGACAGTAATAGATTCAGATAAGGGGATCACAAGCAGTGGCAGCATGGAGGTGGTGATTTGAGGATTTTTGCAGACCCTTACTCAATGCCAATGGCCTTCTTCCTCAGTTAGAATGCAATACATCTTTAAATCCACAATTCCTATCTTCTTATTTACAAGCTTGGTACCAAAACTCATCCAGAGGCATTGGTCTCACATGAACTGATAAGAGTCATTTATGGTCTTCATTTGTCCCACTTTGTGTGAACACACATTACTTCTGCTACACAGGTTTTGATGTGCTCAATTATAGGAAGCTGCTCCAAACCCCACTGACGGTGTATGTAACATACAGGGTGAGGGACACATCCCCTTCCTCAAATCCAAAACATCTGGAAATGCTAAAATATCTGTTTCCATGGAAGTGAAGAGGGGAAACAGTGGTCAGCGCTGGGCAACCTCACCCAGCCCTCATCACTGTCACACAAGTCATCGCTCAGGCAGAGAACCCAAGGGCTGGTCGCAGGGCTGAGGACAGGAAAACCGTGGGATGCAAATCAAGGTCAAAACAGCACAGCCATGACCCGCGTTCCAGCCCCAGGGGCCAAGGGCGCCGTGTGCGGTGTAGTCTACTTAGAGAGTTGGACTTGAGTAATAGTCTTCAGAAAGATTGTCACCTTCCCCTCACAACATTTTGTGCTCAAGAAGGGCAAATATCTCCCTCAGACTGTGAGAAGCTGGTCTGAGAGACATGGCACCTTGGTCCCATGTGAAAAAGAGCCTGTCAAATGGTCCAGACTTGAAAGATTTTTGCATTCATCAGAAAACAGGATCACTTCCAGTTGCAATGCTTAGAAAAAGGTAATAGTAATTACCCTTAGATTGTGTGTGTGTGTGTGTGTGTGTGTGTAAGACTAACACGAAGAGCTTTGTAACAATGGAATCAAGAGAACATTATGGGCCGGCACTGCGGCTCACTAGGCTAATCCTCTGCCTGTGGTGCCGGTACCCCGGGTTCTAGTCCCGGTCGGGGCGCCGGATTCTGTCCCGGTTACCCCTCTTCCAGGCCAGCTCTCTGCTGTGGCCAGGGAGTGCAGTGGAGGATGGCCCAAGTGCTTGGGCCCTGCACCCCATGGGAGACCATGAATGAAACCATTTCAAGAAATATCATAACTTCTCATTCAGAGTAAGCTTATTATTGCTCTTTATTATATATTGCTTCTGCCAAAGAAGGCATCTCTAAAGGTGATATACACTAATATTTGAGTAGGGCAGGGATCCAATCTGTGAGAGTTCTTGAGAATCAGGTAAATATAAAGAAGATAGCAAGTCTGGGGTGGCACTATGCAGAATAAAATAATTTTTTTCCTTTTTTAAAAAAGATTTGTTTGGAAGTCGGAGTTAGAGAAGGGGAGACAGAAAGCGATCTTCCATCTACTAGTTCACTCCCAAGATGGCTGCAACAGCCATTACTGGACCAGGCTAAAGCCAGGAGCCAGAACCTTCTTCTGGGTCTCCCATGTGAGTGGCAGAGACCTAAGCACTTGGGCCATCCTCTGCTGCTTTCCCAGGTCATTAGCACAGAGCTGGATCCTAAGTGGAGCAGCCAGGAGAGAAAGAAACCGGCACTCACACGGGATGTCAGCCTTGTAGGTAGCTTTACTTGCTGTGCCACAGCACCAGCCCAAGAAAAATAATTTTAAGAAATAGTTTTATAAGAATTAGAATTTTCTTTGAATGTTAGAAAAAAAAAGGTGACAGAGAGGAGGGAAGGAAAGGAAAGCAGGATGGAAGAGAGCAAACTTAGTAGTAAGGAGTAGTGCCTCATACTTCAGTCAGTACAAATTTAACTGTAGCTCTCTCACAACCTCAGATGACTTTACCATGGAGTCTAGACACTTGCCAAATCTTTATCACTAGATGACTGAGAATTCATGATGACTGCACGTTTCTAAGGAGACCCTCGATATAACTCCTCTCTAAGTAAGTCTCATGTTCACAATAAATTCTTATTTTCCTGGATTTTTCACAGTATTTATAATTAAACTTACTGAAGAGACTTTTCATCCAAAAGCTGAACAATGATAAGACTTACTTCATAGGCCAAAACAGCCACATTCCAGGGTTTTCGATAGTGTGTCAAAGTGTTCCCATCCCAAACACGGTCACAGAGTCCGTGGTAGTACTCGTTGTCAAAAGGTGTGGTTAGGGGATCCATCCCTAAAATGTTGATCCTGAGAAAGAAGAGAGTAGCATCAGGCGTGTGGAAACAGCACAGCCAGTGCCAGGCAGCCCTGTGTAGCTGGGCAAAGTGAGACAGCTTCGGGTCGTGTCACTAGCACCTGATATATGTGCAGTATAATCAGGAACAGAAGCAAGAGCCTGTTCAACTTGGCTCTGTCTCTGGCAGAAAGCATTTCTTAGGAGGGCCTTATAAACTCTTTTAGGTAACCAAGGCCCTGTTTAGTGAGCAATGAAAGAAATGCAGTAAGTAGGGCACATGGGACCATCTGGCTCCTGGAGTCTTAACGCCACTGCTGTAACTCTTACCTAACTTCTTTTAGTGAGCCGAGAGCCAATGCTGTAATACCAACTATTTAAATTATTTGAGAACAGAGCATCCCAGGGGGGCAGTATAATGCATGCATGCAATTTTTCATATGTGAATCAACAGGGGGATTCTTTTGTCTTTCCCTGTTCTCTTTAAACTTAACCCGTTTCTCCTGCATTGTCTCATGGCTTGGCGATAACCTCATTCCCTACAGGCTTATGTTATTCCTAGTATATTTTCCAAGAGGAACACAAAAATTCAGCATCCTGGCAAGGCATTTTCAAAAATTTTCCTTGTTTCCCACCCCCCAGCAAAATGTTTTTATTTGGCAAGCTTTAATTCATCCATAAGAATCTGGTTTAACTTTAAAATGGTTAAGTTTGATTTGTGGGCTTAAACACAGTATATGGACTAGGTGTAATTAAGTCTTTGTGGAGTACAGGTTTATTATCAGAGGAACATAGCTTTACTGTCAAGGAGATATCTGAATTAAGTGGTCCCAATCCAGTCAGGCAAGAATGGAGGTTTGATCCTCAAATCTGTAACTTATTTGGCACAAAAACAAATTCAGCTATTGTTCTGGTCCACATTCCTACCTCTAACAGCTCTAAGTCTGGGCTGCAAATCCAGATGTTGGCTGCAAGAGCCATTTGAGTGTGGATGACCTAGTGCAAACCCTTTGCCAATGCAAGGAAAACAGCTGGAAGAGTATCCCATTGCAGTGGGTTAGTTAAAGACAGCATCTTCATGTAAGGAGTATATCTTAAGTAAACTTTGAAGCTACAAATAAAATTAATGTTATGATTCAACTTCAACAGAAGACAAGGAATGGATACAAAATGACAATCTTTCTCAGGGCTGACAGAGATAACATTAACTGTCATCCCCCACGTCCTATCCCACTAGAAATGGCTTTCATGGCAATCACTATGGTCCCAAAATTTGCATGCAAGACCAAAAATTACATCTATTGAGTCAGAAACAAAAAAAAGAAGAACACTAAGAAACAGCCCCATTACAGAGCTGGATTCCTTTCTTTACATTTTGTCCTCCATGATCGAAATTTTGATTCCAATTCTTCCCCCATCCTTGCACCTCCACCCTTGCCAGGGTCTCATCACTGCAAAGCATACCTCCTTCCTCCCGGCCTTCGTGATGGGCCTTGTGACTTGCTGAGTGACACTGGGTCAGCTCTGAGCCTGCCGGAGAGGGCCTCCCACACTTCCTTTTGCTCCACTGCATTTATGCCATTGCCTCGAGGCAGGCTTCCTCTGAGCAGCCCTTGACCCTTCCGGGGACCCCCGGACCTCAGCGAGCAGCAGAGCCACCCTGGCCACTGCCATTGCCACTTGAGGCGGAGGTGCCAGTGATGCCCAGTCTTGTGAGCAATACTTATTTTTATGTCACGGAGATTTTGCTGTACCTTCCACCTCCAGAACATATAAAACTGGAAATAAATGACCACGTTTGTTTCTTAAACAAAGCCTCAACTACATCTTTATTCAGTAGTGAACTCCCCACTCCTGTGTGTCTGCATGAACAGAGATCCTCTCTTTACTTTCAATGAATAAAACATTTTTGTTTAGAATGATGATTAACTCTTAGGTGACTGCAGTATTTAGTATGGTGTACTGTTTGTAATAGCAGGAGGACAATAATAGCATTATAAATACAGTCTTTGTTTCATGAGAATTTTTTAGGTTAGGAAGTTGGACATACAATTACCAATTAAAAAAAAAAACAGTCCAAGGAAGAATACACTTTGTGCCAAGTCAGGGGTCCGTGTGAGTACTATGTAATGTAGATTTCCAAGAGGGAGACCACCCCGTGGGATAGCTTTATGGCTTTCAGAAAAAGTGACGTTGGATTTGGGTTTTGAAGGGTGCTAAAAGAACAGGAGGAAAAGTGTGGGCAAGAGATGCAAATGTGAATGGCATATTTTGGGAATAGTGGGCTGTAGATTGTTTGTTTGCATATCACATGCGGGAATTTGGACAAGTGATACCTTCTGGTACCTTTTCAGTGTGACATGTAATATTTTTATATAATTGCAGAGATATAATTTTCTTGCATGCTGTAAATATCTACATTTCAAAATTTAATTATTTGGCCACTTTAAAAAAAATCTAATGAATGTAAATGCTATTGTTAGGGTGGGTCACTATAGTAGTCATATTTCTTATAACAGCTTTAGTTTCACAGCAAAGTTGCATAAAATATGCAGATTTCCTACAAACCTTGTGCTCCTTTATAGTCTCAATTTTTGTTTCTCCCATAGAATTTTAACAACATGACATAGTTTATGCTTGTAAGGTTTTTACTGTCCCTTTGTCATACTTTACCATACCAAAAATATATTGAGATTTAAAAAAATTAAGTATCTTTTGACCATAGGGCCTATGTGTAAAAATTTTTGTTACTAATAATATGGGTATATATTAAAATTTTTGAATCATTGCCAATATAATTTTACTTAGGTTTAGCAATCACAATCAAGTTAATGAAATATTTTTTAAAATCAGATCACTTCCATCCATGGGTATTACTTAGTGCTAGGAAGAGATATGTATCCACATTAATTTCATTTATACTTTCCATTTTTACAGACTTTTACAGATTTAAATGTTAAGAAACTTAATGCAAACAAAAATAGAAGGACTTTTATTATAGCAATGTCACTCAATTCTTTGATCTTCTGAGTTACATATCAAAAAAGATTACATACTAATCTTTCATCAAAAAATTTTATAGTCCATTATCTGACAGCAGATTAAGACATTTTTCAATGTTGATGGTAACAAAAATTAGTGACCACGTAGCTTCCACGGCATTAGAGTCCAGCTGAGTACCAAGATCTGGAGTTGCTTCCTCGTTTTCCTACCCAATAGCAAAATGTGGGATGGTTAGGGGTATACTCTGATTTGCAAAAGTGGGAGATAAATGATTGTAAAAAAAAATAGGGTCAAGGAGAGGGCTGGGGGCTGGCACTGCGTAAAGCTGCCACTTGTGACACTGGCACCCATATTGGAGGATCAGTTCTAGTCCCAGTTGTTGTTTCCCATCCACGTTTTTTTCTAATACACCTGGGAAGGCAGCTGAAGATGACTTAAGTGCTTGGGCTCCTGCAAACCTAGATTCCTGGCTTTGGCCTGGCCCAGACCTAGCTGTTGTAGGTATTTGGGGAGTAAAAGAGCAGATAGAAGACCTTCCTCCCTTCCTCTCTCTCTCTCTTCCTCTCTCTCTCTCTCTCTCTCTCACACACACACACCCTTTGCCTTTCAAATAAATCTTTAAGAATTATTTAAGAAGGAAGGGGGCTAATGTTGCAGCAAAGCAGGTTAAGCTACAGCCTGCAATGCCGCCATCCCATATGGGCACTGGTTGGAGTCCCAGCTGCACCACATCCGATCCAGCTTAATGCACCAAGAAAAGCAGTGGAAGATGGCCCAAGTCCTTGGACCCCTACACCCATGTGGAAAACCTGAATGAAACTCTCGGCTCCTGGCCCCATGTGGGAGACCTGGATGAAGATCCTGGATTCAACCTGGCACAGCCCTGACCACTGCAGTATTTGGGGAGTGAACCAGCAGATGGAAGATCTCTTCCTCTGTATCTCCCTCTAACTTTGCCTTTCAAATAAATTAAATAAATAAATAAAACAAGGAGGAGAGGGCTTGACAACTTGAAAGTACCTGAGACATCTGTCATCAATTTTATGAAAAAAAATGTACAAATGGAAGTGGATGAATTATTGTTAAATAATTAATAAGAAAGGAAAACCTTAAAGCTTACCTGTCACCACTCTGGAAAGTTTTTGCACACCCATGGTGTGTATACCCTAAGTTTCAAGGTTATTGCTGCACAAAGCACCAAATTAGCCTGTTGGCTGGGTCCACCTGGAAAGTGACAGTGAAGCTGATGCAAGATCTAAGGCACAGCTAGGAAAGAAATGTTTCAAAAGCTTCTGACTTGGTTCCACTAGAGACGGCCAGTCTTGTCTAGAATGGGCCAATTTTTTTTTCTCTTAAGAAACATGAAAACTTCCATGCAAAGGCATCGCCTGGGAAATTAAGAAAACAACAAGTGTTCTCGGGCAGCACTTGGAGATGCCTGCTTTCACACCTGCATCTAGGATCAGAGGCCGTTCCAATTTACCAGGTGAACCAAAAAGTTCCCTTCACAGAAGTGGCGTGATGTTGAGATCACAAAAAAAGTGTAAGCCTAACATGTTGCAAATCATCTACAGCTGGTTGGGATTTATTTATTTTTTTCAAAGAATGAGAGATGGATTGGAGGGCTTCCCTAAACACTTCTGGAGAATCTCAAATGCCTACAGCTGAAGAGGCTGGATTGAAACAGCCTTGACACAACTGAATTCTTCTGGCCTAAGGATTTCAAGGAGTGAGTCCTTCAGATGCGATAAAGTATGAATTGGTCATCACAAGTCCTTCTGACTTTCCTACACAAAACTATCTGACCGTGTGGGACAGCTGAGAGGACTTGAGGTTTTCCAGACGAATTGTGTAGAAGCAGGTTATAAGCATGCTGCTGGGGCTGGCGCTGTGGTGCAGTGGGTTAAAGCCCTGGCCTGAAGCGCTGGCATCCCATATGGGCACTGGTTCTAGTCCCGGCTGCTCCTCTTCCAATCCAGCTCTCTGCTCTGGCCTGGGAAAGCAGTACAGGATGGCCTTGTACTTGGGCCCCTGCACCCATGTGGGAGACCTGGAAGAAGCTCCTGGCTCCTGGCTTTGGATTGGCACAGCTCTGGCCATTGCGGCCATCTAGGGAGTGAACCAGCGGATGGAAGACCTCTCTGTCTACCTCTCTGTCTTTCAAATAAATAAAATAAATCTTTAAAAAAAAAAAAAAAGCATGTTGCTGTGAGGGGGTGGCTAGGGTGCTATCTCCTACTGCCTCTAGTTCACATACAGTCCAGAGCTGCATGTGAGAATAATGGAAGAGGCTTATACTTTGTGTTAATAACATTGAAGAATATCGTAAATTACCTAAGCATTTGTTTTGCCATCTCTTCTTAAATACTAATTTGATTACATACCACTCTTGTATAGTCTTAATTCAAACATTTGGGTAATAAACAGCTGCTTAAGAAGATTGATTTTTAGGGTAAGTTCTGCTTTGGTGTCAAGGTGTTGGCTTACAGACTTTGTAGTGATTGAGAGAAATGGGGGTGGTGGTGAGGGTGGGGGTCTGAGAGGAGGGTCAGGTGGAATGGTGGGAAAAACAGAGTTTTATATGAGTCACAGATACTTGGGTCTGAGTTCTTCTAGGAACTACTTAGCCACATGGCCCTCATTATCTCACTCAGTTTATCTCTGCAATCCCTCAGTTTATCTCTAAGAATCCCACAGATTATAAAAATCTATAGAGATGGAATGTGCAAAAATATTTTGAAAAGGTCCAAGCATTATGCAAATGAAATCTGTCATACAACAGCAGGTTTTGTGAGACTTCATGTGTCACAGGTCTGCACTCACAGTAATGAGGAATTTCATAAACAGTGTTGATGGACTGATTGCATCAGGGCACTTCACTTGTACTCCAGCAGCTGACCGTCGCCCATCGCAGTGGCCCCACCCTCTTAGCCTGGAAGGCTCAGCCTGTGGTGTTCCCCGACACAAACTCTGACCATCGTAAAGCAGGAGGTATTTAAAAATTCCTAGCCAGCTCGCTGGGATGCCTCATCGCGAAACTCCCTGGCAAATGCTACGTAGCAAATTTGTCTTTGCCTTGAACAAAGGAAACAAATAGATTTGAATGACTGTTTTTCAGCTAAGTGGGCCAAAATTTCTGTATTCTTTTCCTATAAGACACACTTTAACTTTGCATGGAGTGAGAATAAATAACATATGTAATTCCCTGCCTTAGATGTCTTGTTTAGATTAGGAAGAAGACTTTCTTGGCTCCCAAACAAAGCAAAGTGAAGCAGTAATTGGTTTTCACCATGGATGCAGCTTCCTGGAGGAAAGCAGCAAAACCAGTACTGATTCATTCATATTTGTCGTGATCTGGTTACAGGGTTTTGGACAAACCCCATATCATTAGCTTCCACTTCCTAAGGGGGCCTTGCTGAGCTTGGGACACAAGACCAACCATTTGATTCAAGATTCCCATCTTTAGGCTAAGAGCCAAAGACATTGTGGGTAAACTGGAATGCTGCTTAGACAAGACTTTATGAAGCGAGCAAAGCATGCGTGAAATTTTTTATCTCGTGTCCAACTCTTGCTTTCCTGGCATTTTTTTTCTTATTTCAATTAAAGACGTGAACGTTTTCATCCAACCCAGAGAGAGGAGACATCTCCAGTTCCTGCCAAATCTGATACGGAGGAACTGCCTGGTACCCAAATCTCTCGACCTCAGCACCACTGATGCTCTGCTTTGGGCTGTCCTGCGCACTGTAGGATGTTTATTGTCATCCCTGGCCCCTATTCCCTAGATGCCAGTAACACTCCCTACCTCTGCCCTTTCCAAGTTGTGACAACTAAAATGGGCACCACCAGATGTACCCTGGGGTAAAATCACCCCTGGAAGATAACCAACTACTTTAGTCCCTCCATCAGCCTTACTGCCCTCTCTCCCATCTTCTTTCCTCTCCCAGTTCTCAGTCTCGGGGATGGCATTTTGACTATGAATTTCTTTCCAGGGGCCTGGTTTCAGCCTTGCCTGATAGCGATTGCCAATGTTTTAGAAAGCACCTATGTATTGGTTTTCATTCATCAATGAGTTCATGCATTTATCCAATTTTCAAGTATTCATTGAGCAACTACTATAAACAAGGCACTAAGACTGTGTGGAAAACCAGCTACATTACATTACAGGTATAACATAGAGCCATAAGCCATCTCTGTCAATGTATTGCTGCATGAAAGGAGACAATTTTCCAATAAATCCACCTGAGGTGCCTTTACCAAAAACAGCTCAGAGCAGCTGTTGATGAGCTCATGGCAGTATCCTTGGGATGCTTTCATGGAACAGAAAAGAACAGAACCTTAGCTCTTTCTAATTTTCCCAATTCCTGGAGCACAGGTCTCTGCATATCAGAAGTATGGTAATTTCTTACATGGCCTTGGCAACTCATTACTAGAGCCTAGGGAGATTGCTGACGCCTTAAACAAGAGTGTCAATTTGTTAAGTCAACAACAGGAGTCACTGTGCACTTACTCCCCATGTAGGATCTCTGTCCTTAATGTGTAGTTCAATGTGAATTAATGATATGACTAGTGCTCAAACAATATTTGGCACTTTGTGTTCTGTGTGGGGGCAAACTGATGAAATCTTTACTTAATATATACTAAATTGATCTTCTGTATATGAAGATAATTGAAAATGAATCTTGATGTGCATGGAATGGAGAGGAAGCGGGAGATGGGAGGAGTGCAGGTGGGAGGGAAGTAATGGGGGGAAAAAGCCATTGTAATCCATAAACTATACTTTGGAAATTTATATCTACTAAATAAAAGTTAAAAAAAAGACTAAATGTAATAAGAAAATAGCATCATTAAACTGTTAGTAATTTTCTTTAACTAGTTGTTTTCAAATTGTCTGTTGCTAGAACCCTGCTTCCATCGTCTGATCTTGTAATCATTGAGAAGCTTCAAAACAGGGCAGCGGATGTGGGTGCTTGTGTAGAAGCTAAGACACCACTTGGGACATCTGCATCTTATATTGGAGTGTTTGGGTTCGAGTCCTGGCTTCATCCCCAACTCCAGCTTATTGCTGGTGTGCACTGGAGGCGATTAGTCAGGTTCAAGTGGTTGGGTCCCTCCCAATGCACGTGGGAGACCTTGACAAAGTTACCAGCTCATCAGCTTGACCAGCCTCAGCTACTGCAGGCTTCTGAAGAGCGACCCAGTGGATGGGGGCACTCTCTCTCTCTCTTCCTCTCTCTCTCTTCCTCTCCAACTTTAGTGTCTCTACCTTTTGAATATTATGAATATTATGGTTAGTTGTGAATTAAGATGATGGCAATAGAGTAGACTGAAATTATGTTTCTGTAAAAAATTTTACAAAAATGAAAGGAAGGAAGGAGGGGAATTGAGGGAGGGAAAAAGGAGGGAAGGAAGTATGGTTATCTTAGAATTGTACCTATGAAATACATGAAATCTGTTCTCTTTATGTTAAGAAAAATTTTTAAAAATTTTAAAAAAATTCTATCTTTGAAATACCATGTAATCTATTTCTCTCTCTCTCTCGCTTGCTCTCACTCTCTCTCTCTTGCTGTCTCTTTCTCTCTCGCTGTCTCTCTCTCTCACACACACACACACACTAACCCTGATTTCTAAACTCCAAGACTTTCATTGAAATTTATACCCATCTGTCAGAGCCCCTGTGTTTTACATGGAAAATGAGTGACACAGCAACTCTATAATGAGAGCCAGTACCTCAACCCCATGACCCTCTGGCATGATGATTGCTACCTCTGATCCCACTCTTCCTGGGTCAGTTCCAGAATGCTGACATTGCCTAAGCAAGTGTAGACCCAGATGTTTCAGTGGAAGGGAGACAGCCATCTTGGTAATTCAAATATTCGAATCGAATTGCCAGACCTACCGTCAACGATTCAATTCCAAATGCTAGCATGTTGTGTCAACACTGCTACGTTCTTTCAGAGGTTCATCAATTAAATATTTTATCTCCACATAGACTGAGAAGTGGTCAGCTAGCATGCTGACAGTAAGGAGCCATCCGGGGCCAGGCAGTTTATCCAAATGATCCCCAAATACCAGCTCGGCACTTCACAGTCCAGCTCAAACTTAATCACAAGCCCTCCAACTGCTTAGCAAAATGAGAGATGGAGATCATCATCGCTCCCCTTCTTCTGAAAAAATACAGGTGAAATACAGACCCATAGCCCGCTGTCCGTGCCAGCTCCGACTCTTGGACCTCGCGGTTGCGACAGGTAAGACGGGGCTCCGTTTCGCAGTCATCCTCATCTGAAAAGTCTCCGCAGTCATTGTCCCCATTACACAGCAGTCGCCTCTTTATGCACCTGCCTGCAATCAAAACCAAAATCAAAACTCTGTCCAATGGCAAACTTTCTCCCTCTCCTTTGGAGGTTACCAACTACTCTTCCATGCCAGAGGTGACATGTCAGACAGCCCTCTCTGAGCTCTTTGTAGGGCGCACAGAGATGCCACGTGGTGGGGCCCTTTCACACATGGAAATACGAGATCTAGAGGCAGGTTTGTTTCTTCTCACACAGACCCGCCAGCAGCAGAGCGTAAGGATTACCTGTCCCACAGTGAAATTCGTCTTTTTCACAGTCCTCCTCAGCGTCTTCGCATGCCTCCGTAGGTATACACGCTCGCCTGTCGCCCAGAGCATCCACACAACTTTTCCCATGAAATTGTCCAAAGACTTCGATGCTCCTTGAACGAAACTGTGCAAAACCAGCTGGAGAGATTAGCATTATGTTCTAAAGCCACCCTGCAAACCCAAGTGAGTCATTGACTTGAAGGCGGAAGCGGTGGAAGAAGTTACCAGTGTTTCTTAAAGTAACACTGCACATTCTGGGTTTTGCAGTCTCCCAGGGGTGAGGAAACTTTTTTCTGCCAAGGACCACCTGCATATTCATAACTCATTTGTGGGCCGCACAAATTTATCAAGTTAAAAATCAGTCTGCCATAGCTTTATTTATTTATTTATTTATTTTATTTTTTGACAGGCAGAGTGAACAGTGAGAGAGAGAGACAGAGAGAAAGGTCTTCCTTTGCCGTTGGTTTACCCTCCAATGGCCGCTAGTCCTACCTGTGGTTGTCTTGGAAGGGCTAGTCCAAATGGTTTGGGGAACTTTATACAGCTTGCAGATGGGCCGTTCCTCAGCCCTGTGATTTGATATGCTTTTGATGTATCATCAACATTCACATTTCCTGGCGAGGTTAGTCACCTCCATTTAGCTGTTTCTCTTTCTGGGCTTGGAGCTCGATCGCAGGAGCGCCTGGTCTCACAGTGACTTCCCCGGAGATGCCAGCAAGAGTTTTCATTTGGGAAGGGCGGGGGGAATGGAGAAGGCGGCTTACCATTTGCCTGAGACAAGGATCACAGTGCGACCATTCACTCCATGGGCTCATCCTGCAGTCTATGGGCTGCAGAGGGTCACTCCTTTGTATCGGCTCGTGGACATAGCTAAGGTAATAGAAAGGAACACACGAATTTTATAATAACCACTGGCTCCTGGTCACAGCTAAGGTAATAGAACACACCAATTTGTAATAATCATTGGCTTCTGGTCAGCTAAGGTAATAGAACACAGCAATTCGTAATAACCACTGGCTCCTGGTCGCAGCTAAGGTAATGGAACACGTGAATTTGTAATAACCATTGGTTCTGGTCAGCTAAGGTAATGGAACACACTGATTTATAATGAGCATGATGTGTGCCTGTTTTTAAGATGCCTCCACAAAACAATTTAATTCATTTACAACTTCTCTCCCTTCCAAGTTATACTACTTACCCTTTTTCTATATCTCTCATCTGACACTTGATCACATGCTGTTTTGTATTTTCAATTCATCTTTTAAATCTGTACTGTATTTTAATACGGCTTTCAACTTAACAACAGTAGTAATGAGGAAAGCTGGCAAGAAATCCTGACAGGTGATTTACATGGTTAAGCTTGTATTCCCAACCACACTATCAACTCATTAAGGCTAGAAACCTTTTTCCCTTTCTTTGCACCATACCTGCCCCGTGAGAGTCTATAAAGCTTGAGTTGCCCTGTTCTCTTGGGAATTTAAGGCAGCTGAGGTAGCCAGGCCTGCAGCAGGCACCTCATTAATCAGGGTTTCCCTGTCTGCGCTAAACTGGGTGCTTTACCACTTCACACTCCACCTTGGAACTCATTCCTGAACTTTCTAAGTTTCAGCATCATACATGTTGGCACTCACAGCTTCCCCCTCTGCCTCCAGATCCAATGTTCAGCAGTGCTTTTCTCAAGTTCTCTTTCTTCCATGGATACAGAAAAAGACAAAATCCAAAAACGAGCCACCAAACAAGAATCCCATGCACTTCCTGCCTCTGCTCCCCCGACCTGACGCCTGTCCTTGTGTAGTGAAGCCTCTTAGACTGGAGGGACGATTGGGCAAGGCCAACCCTGCACCAAAGCTCTAGATCCCAGCTCCTCCAGAGACATTTATCTATGGCATGTCCCTTCTATTTTAAGCCCTCGCTCACTGCTAGCTACTTTCCATTTGTAAAAACAGTGTGCTCGAGTCTGTGGTTAAACTGAGAGGTGAGGATAGAAGCCATTGAGAGCATGTGGATGCAGGGAAGGGGCAGTAAGCCGAGCAATGCAAGTCCCTCTAGTAGAGGGCACTTGGGTGTTAGCACAGTGAGACCCGTTTTAGATTTCGGGTTCCAGAACTCTGAGATCATAACCCTGTGTTTGAAGTCACCCAGTTTGTGAGCATCTGTTGCAGCTGCAAAAGGGAACTAATGCACGTGGCCTCAAGAGCTCTACATCAACTCCGTGCTTTTGAATTTTCCCAACTTTATTTTTCTCCAACCTAGACAGCCATTTCTTCTCATGGCTTCAGGTCTTTCATTGTACTATCCTGTTCACCAAACTGATCTCCTGGACACATTTTGGTTCTCTATCCTCCTTAATTAGTCTTCAGTATACATGCTATTATAGCATCTTGTCCTGTATGTCACAAACACCTTTGCAATTATGTAGTTCAATTAATTTATTCACTCACCCATCAATCAAGTATTTACTATTAGATATTATTTGCTAAGTATTGGAGATACAGTGGCATTCGAAACAACAAAACAAAAACATGATCCCCAAACGAATGGAGTTTACATTCTAGATAATATACTGGTGAGTTTGGGGACATTCTGCATTGTCTTACTCTGCTTGCACATAAAGAGCCTGGTACAGGGGCTTGTGTTGGGGCATAATAGGTTGAACAACCACCTGCAATGCCGGCATCCCATCAGGCACCAATTCCCATCCTGGTTGCTCTACTTCCAATCCAGTTTCCTGGTAATGTACCTGGGAAAGCAGTGGAAGTTGGTTCAAGTGCTTGGGCCCCTTACCCATGTGGGATACTCAGATGGTGTTCCAGGATCCTGGCTTCAACCTGGCCCAGCCCCCAGGGTTGCAGCCATTTGGGGAGTGAACCAGTAGATGTAAGATCTCTCTCTCTCTCTCTCTCCCTCTCTCCTCCCCCTGCCATAACTCTGCCTTTCAAATAAACAAAATAAAATCTTTTTTCTAAAGAGCATGGAACAAAGGAGGAGCTTGGGAAGTTTTTTGAGTAAGTTATTAACCAAGAGATAGAAGAGGAATGAAGTGCTTGGTCCCTTGTCCTTGGACAGGGCTGGGCCTGTCTTTGGATACGATGATCTCTTGCTGAAACTCTCCCTGGTGTCTTTGCCAGACTTGCTTGTCACTAAGGCAGATGTCATGGCTGGAGAGAACACTTTTCTCAACCTGAGCCTTGCATACACAATCTAGAGTACTAGGAGGCCTGAGAAGCTCTGGCTTCTTAAAGTGCAGCTTCCAATGTGTTACTCAGGCTGCCAGTAGTCCTAGAAGAACCTGTTGTCCTGGAAGTCTGGGTATTGCAGCTCACATGCAACTACATGACTGACACAGCCTCCGCTAGAACATTTCTATAAAGCTATAGCCTCAACTGCTACTGACAGGCCTCATCATGAGGCAAAGACAGACCCATCTTTATGCCCTACAGCAGTGGGTCTCAATACTGATTGCATATTATAACCCTCAGATATCAAAGATAGGAACCCTAAAATCGTGACTTCCCCAAACCATACCTATTAAATCAGGTTTTCTGGTGATGAGCTGCCAGTACCACTGTTTTCAAAAATGGTACCCAGGGGTGGCCGTTTGGACTACTGGTAAAGATGCCTTTTTTTTTTAAGAGACCTCTTGGGATGCCTGCATCTAGTTTCAGAGTAACTGGGTTCATGTCCTGGCTGCACCACTGATTCATACCTCCTGATAATATACACACTGGGACACAGCAGGTGACCTAGACACCCACATGGGAGACCTACATTGAGTTCCTGGCTCCTGACTTTGGCTTGGCCTAGTCCTGGATGTCACACCATTTGGGGAGTGAACCAGCAGATAGGAGCCCTTTCTCTCACTCTCCTTGTCTATCTGCCTCTCAAAAAATAAGTTAAAATTTTTTTTAAATAGCAACTTAGGCTATTTTTGAATTCACACAAGGTTCAGAGATATGCTTGGGAACACCTGGAGAAACATCCATGCTACCTGAAGAGTGAGATTTGAGTGGGTGTGGCAGTGCTCATTATGTCAGCAGTACCAGGACCTGAGACCACCATTGATCTACAAATACCACGAGCTTTGCCATCACTAGTTTCAAGAATTACCCTGGGGCAGGCATTTGGGCTAGGAGTTAAGATACCACTTTCAAGGCTGACACTGTGGCACAGTGGTTTAAGCTGCTACCATCAACGCCAGCACCCATACAGGTGCTGGTTCAAGTCCTGGCTACTACATTTGGGATCCAAATAAATAAGTAATCTGTTTGTTTTACTTTTGTATTTTTTAAAAGAATCTGTTTTATTTATTTGAAGGGTAGTGATAGAGATAGAGATAGAGACAGAGACTGTCACTCCCCCATTCGCGGAGGAACAACACTAGACCCTGCGCTGTTCTTTTGTCTGCTCGGCCCTTCCCGGGTTTGCTGCTGGTCCTTCCCGGGTTGGCTGCCGACCCCTCCACCTCCGTGGGCTGCTCAGGTGTTCCTTCAGATGTTCCTTGTGCATGTTGTCTCTCTCCTCCTTTATAGTCCTCTTCCACCAATCCCAACTCTGCTGCCCACACGCCAAGCACGCTGCTCTCCTCCAATCAGGAGCAGGATCAGCTCCTGCAGCTTATCAGTCAAATTGGCGAGAGGCAGCTGCGTAGAAGTTTACTCCTCCCCAGCGCCATATTGTGGGAGAGCAGATGCATAGAATAAGTCTTAATTCCAGCAACTTAGTCTAGTCTCAGTTGCTCCCCACAGAGAGAAAGAGAGAGAGAGAGAGAGAGAGAGAGAGAGAGAGAAAGGTCTTCCATCTGCTGATTCACTCCCCAAATGTCAGCAATGGCCAGGGCTGGGCCAGACCAAAGTCAGAGACCAGGAGTGTTTTCTTGGTCTCCCACATGGATGCAGAGGCCAAAGTACTGGGGCCAGCTTCTGCCACTTTCTCAGGCACATTAGCAGGGAGCTGGATTGGAAGTGGAGCAACTGGGACTCCAACTGGTGCCCATATAGGATGCTGGCATTGTAGGCAGAGGCTTTACCTACCACAACACAATGCTGGCTCCAATAAATGTATCTTTTTTTTTTTTTTTTGACAGGCAGAGTGGACAGTGATAGAGACAGAGAGAAAGGTCTTCCTTTGCCATTGGTTCACCCTCCAATGGCCGCCGTGGCCGGCTTGCTGCAACCGGCACACCGCGCTGATCCGAAGGCAGGAGCCAGGTGCTTCTCCTGGTCTCCCCTGGGGTGCAGGGCCCAAGCACTTGGGCCATCCTCCACTGCACTCCCTGGCCACAGCAGAGAGCTGGCCTGGAAGAGGGGCAACTGGAACAGAATCCGGAGCCCCGACAGGGACTAGAACCCGGTGTGCCGGCGCTGCTAGGTGGAGGATTAGCCTGTTAAGCCACAGCGCCGGCTATAAATGTATCTTAAAAATAAGGCACTACTTCCCATATCAGAGTACCCTGGTTTGACATCCATCTCCAGATCTTGACTCCAGCCTTCCTGCTAAGGCAGACTCTGGAAGGCAGAGGTGATGGCTCAACTAATTGGGTTTCTAAGCCATCCATGAGGGAGACCTGGATTGAACTCCTGGCCTCAGCTTTGACCCTGGACCATTATGGACATTTGGGGAGTGAGTCAGCAGATGAGATCTCTCTTTCTCTCTCAATAAGTAAATGAATCATGGTAAACCTAGAATCCAGCCAGTGGTGAGGGGCTAGAAAAGAAGGGCTGTTCATCTGCCTGTGTGTAGAGGCTACACCTGCTTCAAAGATACTGGTATTGCCTGCAGATGGTTCGTAGTAAATGCCAATGAATTTGTTTTTTTTTTTCTTTATCTGTTATCTTTATATCAGATACTGGTATTTTTTTATTTAATAAATG